CCCCCCCGGTTCACGCGCAAAGCGGTGAGGACATGGACCAGGTCTTTCTTTCTCTGGCACCTCTCTGGCACCTAGATGTCGACTAAGCAAAAGGGCTCCATAAGACGAGGAGTTGCCTTCAGATAAGCTGCATGCATGACTTTCTGTGCAATCGGGAAGATCTTACTCCTGCCTCTGTGAATTGCATCCTCGTGCAATTCAACATGGGATACTTCGAAATAAACGCCTCGCATGTTCTCCCCGACAAGCGGGCCAACACGCGAGGCGGCCTCAAAAGCACAGACTATGGAATCTTTAACCTCATTCAGATTTGGAGTTTCCCTACACATGTTAAGAACCATGTTCGGGCCCGTGGTGTTGGGCCCCAAACACCATATATTCTTGCTTCGATCCTCGTCCCAACTGAACTCCTCACGTCGGAAATTTGAACGAACCACAGGATTATCATGAGGCCCGATCCGCCCGTCGTTTATGGCCGCGACAAGGTCATCCTCCAGTGGCCGAGCCTTCATGTAGAGACGGTTGTGCTTGTTATGGGAACTGCACATCTCATTGTCGAGGGAATTCGTTTCAATTACCGTCTCGCGTAAAGGCACGAATGGGTCAGATTTTATGATTTCGACTGCGCCCATGAAATCTTCCTCCTGTAATTCCTTCATACAAAGGTGAAGTTCGCCTACCCCTGAAACTACTACATGCTGAAACTACTACATGCTGACTGGTCCTACTACTGTCACCAAGAAATGGAGTAGTAGGACCACAGGATCCTGTACATGCCAAAGAGGTTTTGTGCTCCTATGTTACAATCAAATAAAAGAGATCATGGGTCTGTGCCTAAATGGTCAAAAAGATATTCTATGGCCAAAGCTGGAGAAGGTTGGGATCAACATAAATTTGGACGAAAAGGAGAAGCTGACTGGTAAGTCTTTGTTGACGCGTGTGATGCGGAAGTGGTGGCCGGCAAGTGATGCCCTTTTGGAGGCGATAATAGTCCATTTCCCATCTCCCGCCATTGCGCAGAAGTATCGTGCGGAGAGCTTGTATAGTGGTCCTCTGGATGATGTGTATGCAAGTGCCATTACGGGCTGCAACCCGGATGGGCCACTTATGCTCTATGTGTCGAAGATGATTCCAAGCCCAAACACGAGCAATTTTTTTGCTTTTGGCCGTGTTTTTTTTTCGGGTAGACTGACTACTGGACTCGAGGTGAGAATAATGGGTCCTAACTATCTGCATGGTGGATCTAATTATGTATATGAGGAGAACGTGAAGAGTACGCACATATGGATGTGCAATCAGATGGAAAGTATCCACAGAAAGTATCCACAGTGTCGCGTGCGGGAATCTTGTTGCTTTATCAGCCTCGAGAACTTTGTCCATAGAACTGCTACAATAACAACTAATAAAGAATTTAAAGCTCACTCATTACGAAATTTGAAATTTCACGTTGCGCCGGTTATGAGAATGGCTGTACAACAACAACATTGCAATTCTCATAACCGGCGCAACGTGAAATTTCAAATTTCGTAATGGGTGAGCTTTAAATTCTTTATTAGTTGCAACAAGATTCCCGCACGCGACACTGTGGATACTTTCTGTGGATACTTTCCATCTGATTGCACATCCATATGTGCGTACTCTTCACTTTCTCCTCATATACATAATCAGATCCACCATGCAGATAGTTAGGACCTATTATTCTCACCTCGAGTCAAGTAGTCACTCTACCCGAAAAAACACGGCCAAAAGCAAAAAAATTGCTCGTGTTTGGGCTTGGAATCATCTTCGTGGCCCATCCGAGTTGCAGCCCGTAATGGCACTTGCATACACATCATCCAGAGGACCACTATACAAACTCTCCACACGATACTTCTGCGCAATGGCAGGAGATGGGAAATGGACTATTATCGCCTCCAAAAGGGCATCACTTGCCGGCCACCACTTCCGCATCACACGCGTCAACAAAGACTTACCAATCAGCTTCTCCTTTTCGTCCAAATTTATGTTGATCCCAACCTTCTCCAGCTTTGGCCATAGAATATCTTTTTGACCATTTAGGCACAGACCCATGATCTCTTTTATTTGATTGTAACATAGGAGCACAAAACCTCTTTGGCATGTACAGGATCCTGTGGTCCTACTACTCCATTTCTTGGTGACAGTATCAAAATACACGTCACCCTACAGTTTTTTGATGAATCTGGTCGCGTCCACTTCGTACTTTGCCGCGTACATTTGGGCAAATCTTTTTATATTGAATGCCCATCCATCTATTCCGCTTGAAAAGACGACAGTACCCTCCTCGGGGTACACCTGCCAGTCTCCAAGGAGGGCGCTGCTGTATGTGGCAATGACCGCATTCACCTGATCAATGACCTTATTGATCCTGTGCATGACCTGATAGGCTTCCTTGCCATTCATAAAAAAAAAACTCGGTCCAATTTGTTTATAACAAGGACAATGCGTATCTACTCCTGTAGGGCCTGCCTGGCGGATAACGGTCTTGGTCTGCACCCGTACACCCTCTAAGCAATCCACCACGACTAGTGCTCCATCTGTGAGGCGGAGGGCAGCTGTCTGAAGACAGACGAGAAATCAACGTGTCCCGGAGAGTATCAGGTTCACAAGGAACTCGGAACCCTGCTGCTTGCCTTTGAAGCAATTAAGTACTTTCGAGCTCAAATTATAACACAGTGATATAGCTGTGGACTTTATCGAGAGGCCACACTCAATTTCGTCCGCACGGGTATCAGTAGAGCGAACATTCCCGACAATGTCCTCGTGGATGATGCCAGCCGCAGCCAACATCGAGTCTATGACTGTGGTCTTTCCTGCAATAGGTAGGCAATGT